CTGAAAGACCGGTCGCCAGGTTCGAGAATCGTATCTCACCTAGAAATCAATTAATGTGATGGTCGAGGTAACTCAGGAGCTAGAGATTAGTTTGGAGAGGCAACTGGGGATAATGAAGCATAAACATTATGTGACTCTACAAGCATCATCTAAGCATTTTGATTTTGTCATGTCTGGTGATAGAGATCTGAGGGTCCATGCCATTTTTGCTAAGGGTGGAGGTACCCATGAGCATGTGTGCGACAAGTCTAAATATGGATGGTGTGGATAAAACGGCCATCTTTGCCAAGAATGCACCCTGTAAATAGAATTGTGTTATCGTCGTCATCATCCTGGTCATATTAAAGCAAATTGCCCACATTTAGTGGTTGGGGAGACTCAGGCTGCATTGCAAGTGCTTTTACATGAAGGAGGAGAAGGAACCTTAGACACTCTGAGCATGTATCATATTCTTCTCTTTCACACTTTAATTGTTATGCTAATAATTCTATCTTGGTATGTGTGAAAATTTATTCCCTGATTATCTAGGGATAGAAGCACCTATATGAGTAATATAGTTATTTTATCCAGAAAGTTGGCATATGCCATTTTGCATGCCATGGGCCATGTTTAGAAGAGAATTGAGTATCCCACTTAAGAGACTAGCATTCGATCTGATCTTTGGGAGGGGTGCTCATGGCCTCGAGGTAGTTAGGAATAGGTTCAGTAATAAGTGTAAGATCAGTGTTTGAATGGATTGGGTACTAGTTTGACAATGACATATTGTTCCTCATCAACGGATCAGTCACCAAGGACTTGTAATGGATTCAGTGAGAAGCGCCTGTGGATCTTGAAATTCGTTGAGGTATTGGGAATGATCATCTGGTTTTGGAATGTATAAGTGCTAGTTTTGGCTGGTCAAGGAAAGCTAGTAGTTGTAAAGCTCATATTGTCGACTGCTACCATCATTAGGGATTGAGTGGTGGTAACGTATTACTCTTAAGTTATAGGGATTGTCAACAAAAATCGAATGTTATCTTTTGGCAAACTTTGAATGCATCGATCATTCCGCAGGTGAGTTGTTGAATTGATGATCTATTATAGTTCTATGCCCCGAGTTGTCGTGGATTAAGGATTTGGAGTTGTATCATGGGAAATAATTGACATTATTAAGCTCATTGAGATTTCAGGAAGTATTTATCTGGTTTAGGGAATGTGTGTGATCTCTAAGGTTGGCTAGTGATGGAATGCTAGCTCTTGCAAGCTCAGGTTGGTGACAAGTTGAATTGTAAGGTTGAGAAATGGATTGGGAATCCATCAAGTTGTGGTGGAATGGAAGAGCACAATCAAATCCAAGTAGGGGAGAATCATTTGGTCTAATGGTTACACATGAATGGATATTTAGGTTTCATTTCACATCAGTAGTGATGCTTGGTGGGTATGTGGATGGATCCAGGTGGAGGATTATGTTAGAGCCTCTTGGTTTGTTCTTCTCTGACGATGGCTTAGGGGTTCGAAGCACAACACAAACATTTGGTTGGGTATATATGGAAGCAGGTTTAACTCATAATGATTATGGTTGGTATGGTATATGTACTGTAAAACCATGGATTGGGTCCATGGCAGTATAGAACTGTTGTAAGACTATGGGTCAGTCGTGGTATTCACAAGGTTAGTAGGCTGATGTGAGAATGTTGTAAGACTATAGGGTAGCCATAGCATACATAATGATGATAGGTTTTTAGGGAAGTGTTGTAAGTCTACGATGGGATCGTAGCATTCACAAGAATGAGGTAGCCCAATGTGGGAATGGTTGTGGAATTGCAGAATTATCAGTTCATGCCCAGGTCAAGGTAGACATTATTCTCAGAAGATTACTATTAGTTTGTATAATGTTTGTTGGAAACGAGGCCAGGTTATGCTTATACAACACTCGATTGCGTGAGTCCCCTGGGTGAGGCTTGTATGGGTATGACCCAATGGAGATTGGTTGGGGAAAAGGTATTGGGTTACATGTAGAGTGGGATAAGTCTGTGGTTAGTGGTTGGTATTCATGATGCATAGGCTAGTATAGCATGTATTATTTAGACCCTCAATAGGGGCCTGGTGGTAGCACCAGGTGTGTGATTGTGAGTCTCATCATTGGATTGAGGATTTTATATCGTAGTTTACTGGAAGGTCGCCATGTGATCAGAAGATTTCAGATATAATGCAAGTGTAAATCTTTGGATTTTAGAATATAAGTTACGTGTATCGAGTTGATAAATGGGATCAGCTCGCATTGAGAGTCAGAAGATCGTTTTATCCTCAATTTATGATTAAGGAATCTGTCTATCAAAGGTATCATTTGGATAGTATAGAACCAAAAGAACATTTTTTTCAGTTCAGATTGCAAGGTGGGATCCTAGTGATTATGTTTCGGAGTGGTCCTACCTATATGAGGTTAGTAAAATATGGGGTTTCATAAATATAGTAGTGAGGTGTTGGTTCATCCATTAATGGCTCAATGATTTGGATACCATTAGGGTGCATGAGTTCCGTTAAAGTTTGATTTCAATGGTATCCTTGGAGCGTCACTAAGGGTATGAGATAGCCTTTCTGGTGATTCGAAGAAATCAAGAGGTATTGGTCGGAGCGTTTTGGGTTTCAGGACGATGGTAAGGATTTGATTTCGAGGGCGAAATGTAATTTAAGTGGGGGAGAGTTGGAAAACCCTATTTCAAATCGTTTCCAAATACGAGGTTGTGACTTGAAGATCAGTTATCATAAGTCCATGGGCCTTGGGTAAGGAGAGATTTAGACCCCTTGTATGTGGATAATATAGATTAGGTGATTCGAGAGTTCGATTTGTGTTTTGGAGCCCAATGGTATAACCATAAAATGATAGTTCAAGTCTTTTATGAATTTTGTATTTAAGCTCATGAACTTTTAAGGAAAAGAAAGTTGATAGAATTAAATAGCTTCTCATTACCTTTTGTGGATATAAATACATTCGAAATCAGACTTAGAACCAGGAAGTTATGGCCTTCGAAAGATTAGTGGTTTTGATTCCTAAACGAGTATGTTGGGCATACTTTGTGAGTATGTTGGGAGTACTTACTCGATGGTTTGGTCATGGAGGTGCCCATGTACGTGGGGTGTACATGGGACTACGCGAGGCATATGGCCAGCAGAGGTAAACCCTAATTTTTAGGGTTTATGCCCTATTTAAACACCTTAAGTTTCTGTGGGAGTTTCCTATGACTAGCCTCTACCTCTCCAAAACCTGAGAACGAAACCATAGCCTCCATTTGAGTGTTTATGAGTCATTTTTGTGGTATTGTGGTGTTTTTGGTTACATTGAAGAAGGTGAATCTTGGTGGTGAAGCTTTGGTGAAATTGGAGCTTGAAGATCTTAAATCTTCTTCAGCTTTGCAAGCTTTTGAGGTATAAAGCTTCTACGTTGGTAACTCCAAATGCTAGATCTATTTTAGGGCTTCTTTGGTATGTTTTGGCCCCATAAATCTTCTTTATGAGTATGAGTCACTCCAGGAATTGGAAATGCAAGATCCTAGCCTCTCAAATGTTCCTTATGCATAAAAATGAAATCTTGATGAGTTATATTAGACAAGGCATGTGTGTTTATTATGGATTATATTGAGTATTGGATCCCATTAAGACATGCAAAGGAGTACGTGTTAAGACATCATTTAGGAAAAACTCTATGAATTGAACATCGTGGCTTAACTTATTAAGCACTTAATGGTGATTTGGGTTGGCTGTGGAGTACGTAGATCATGCCCAACTTGTACACATCATGAAATTGCCAAAGGAGGCATACACGGGGTGTAAGTCTCAGTATGTAGGGCGTACTCAACTGCCATTGACTTTTGCGATTTTGGTCATATTTGGAATAATAGGGTTTTTGGCCTTGTTAGACCAATAGTCTTTTTGACATTGGGTCATTGTTAGGCTTCGGGCCTTCTTGGATTTAGACCCATAACGGGCTTTGGGTATCATTTAGGAATTTGGACCATATTATGCTTTTGGAGCCATTAGGTTGGGCCTCGGTTATTGGGCCAAGTGAGGAAAGGGTAAAATGGTCTTTTACCCTTGGAATTGGACAAATTAATCAGATTACTAGTTATAGTTTATGAACCAATTATCAATTCAGGTTTTATTTGATTGATTAGAGCATGGATTATCCTGATGAACAGTCTGAGCTTTTATCTGATTTTCAGCATTTTGAGGTGAATCTGCTCACTTTTCTTGACATGTCAAAGGAACTAATTTGGCCAATAATTTATTATGATTAGGATGCTAGTTTTCTATTTGATTCTTGCATGTGTAGCATATGATATGTATATTGGGCGCGGTCCGATGCTAGGCGAGTCCCAAAGAGCGTATTGTATGCTATTTGTCTTAGTGATTCTTGTATGTGTTTTATGTGTCTGTATGAGTTCTAGGCAGTGCTTACTGCCAGGCGGGGCCTGATGAATGTAATGAGATGGGGCTTTATCTCATGTTATTGACATATCTGTTCCGAGCAGGGCTCGATGTCAGGCGGGGCCTGATGGTCGTTGTGCATGGCCCACTCTATGTTTGATATGAATGATATAGGCTATTTTAGGTAACTTACTAAGCTTCGTGCTTATAATTTTTAGTTTATGTTTCATGTATTTCCAGATCGAAGGGGAAGAGCTCGGGATGATCGAACTGCACACACCATGTTGTTCTGCATTTTGTTGACTTGATGTACTTGGATGATTATTGGCATACTCTGATTTTCATTTATGATTTCATGAACACATTTTCGATGATAGTTTTATTATTATAAAAATGAAATTTTTGGTCTTAAAGTTTTGGACGTTATACAACAGACTCCAATTGACGAAGAATCTCCTTGCAACAACTTTCCTCCTCCAAATGAAACTAAGAACGCATTTGAAGATAACAATTCCTCTGTTGCAGCCCTTTACACTCAACCTGCTCTTGCCTCCCATCTTACTTCCACATCATAAATCCTACATAACCACGGATTGATGTCTTCCTTAGAAGATATGAATATTGAAGATCAGGATGATGATGAAGAAAATCAAGATCAAGATGCTGATACTTCTCAAGGTTTTGAATATGGTGATGTAAATCGACATTTAGACAGCCCTGCCTCCGACAAAAACATTGCAGATACATTTGCAATCTTGGAACTCAGATACAATGTTGATAAAGTCGATTCCAAATTTGACATTGTCTGCTCTAAAGTCACATCATTTGACACTAAAGTCGATTTGGTCATCAAAACTCTTTCTAAGATCAAAGTTGTTGCTCCTACCGTAACCAACAGAGGCAACCAATTTGATCAAGTTAATTCTCTTTTTTTAAGTTGCACATTGGAAGACGCTAACCAATGTTATAAAGATAATCTTGATCATTACACCTCCACTCTCAACATGATGCTCAAAATTCATGATGACATGATGTCTGCTACAAACGAACTCACCAAGCAGACTCATGTTCATCACGAGAAAGAATTCAAGGGTTGGAGAAAAAGATCAAACAAAAAGATGGTTTTAATATGATCATGCAAGAATTTCTCATTAAATTCATTCTCTCTGCTCAACACTTTTTCAATACTTCTTAAAACAATTTCAAAACAATGATTCTTGTCTTGGAAGAATCCCTTGGTGACCTTAAATCCAAAGCTCCAACCACTGATCCATACGATTCGCTCTCCAAGAAAATCAATGTGAGCTTCCGACAGGTGCTTGTAAAACCTGATGATCACAAGCCCAACTCATTGCTTGCATCCAAAGCACGGCCTTCTCATGCAAGAGGGGAGAAATATGGAAACACATTTCAGAATTCAAACTCTGATATGAGACATTTAATGATGATGATATAGAATTTGATAAAGAGGTTGCGGCTGAAGACGTGTTTGTTGAAACTTAAGATGAAGGTGAAAAAGAAAGATAAAAACAATCAGGTTGAGAATGTGATTCTTCGCTTCAAGCAATATAAGAACAACTCCTCTCAAAAGATAAAAACGAAAAACTGGTCCTCTATGTGTTTGCATCAAGTATTCTTAATTCATTCAAGAAAATTAGATAAAGGGTAAACTTCTGTTGAAGATAGTGAATGTTGAATTCGAAGCCTCTCAGCCAACTTATTCTCCTTTTCCTGCTCTGAAAATTACACCTGTTGACGATGGTCCTCCAACTAGAAAATCAGATGATCTACCTAAGGAACCTTTGATCTCTCCTCCCTTGGAAATATTTATGACTTCAATTCGTCAAAAAGTCATCTCATCTACGATCCTCTTGTCAAATACAAAGGCAAAAGAATCTCTTTGAATTAGAAGAATTGAAGTAAGATTGCTAAGGACATTGAAGGGATATTGTTAGTACATGAAAGTGTTCCTTAGATGATCCAATCTATGAAGAGATTCCAAGATGAGAAGCCATTCCGAGATGGTTATGATTCTAAGTCTATATAGCGATTTTGAGACGGAGAAGTGATTGAGAAATCAATTTTCAACTGAGATGAAGATGATGATTATGAGACAACGTTTTATTTGAGATATGAAGAGTACGGGATCACTCCTTATTCTAAGATGGAATGTTATTTCAAAAGTAAAGTGAAGATTCAGACATGGAGACTCCGAGATGACTAGCTCCAAGATGCCTTGGATTCAAAGCATAGTCAACTTTTCCTTACAAGAAGAATGTTCTTTTTGTTTTTCCCCATTTTTAGTATTATGTAGAATCAGATAAAATATACTTTATCAAGATTTTGATTACTAATGAAAGTTCTCTTGACTTGTTTGACAACACTTGACTGATCTTAATTACTAGCAAGCATTGATATTAAATATTAGTTCAATATTTTTGTTTACAAACCTTACTTGTGCATTTTAATAGATTTAAAAAAAATAACATACACATTAACTTCTACAGATGGTAAACCTGCCCATGTATGATCGATTAACACCTACATGTTGTAAACTTGCATGTGTACGACTTATAAACATCTACAAATTGCAAAACCGTCCATGTTTGACCCGACTTGTCTAGAGTAGTATGTTGTCATCATCAATACCCAACTAGTTTCCTACATTACTAGTGCGGTACTACTATAAGACTCTCAGACTCTCATTATTATTTCCATCTTTGTTTACCCTTTACTAGCTAATATATTATAAGTATGAAAAAGCATATACTATTAAATAATATCAACTCATATAGTTTTATCTAATATTGAAGGTCTTAATCACATATAATAGGCACATATAACACTAAATTATCAAAATACTTCATATCTATGTGTAAGGTGAAATTGACTATGCACTCACTTGTAAAAAGTGAATAACTAGTGATTTTACAATGCTTTGCCTAGCACCTTGACTTTTCCCTTGATATGATCTAGGTATATTTATCGCTAAGTCTCAGTCATAAATCTTTTATGACTAATGATAGTCTAGATCCCTCAATAATCATAATGTCTATTAATCCATAACTCATAAGGAGTAACCAATCATATCAAAGGTAGTGTCTGTTTGGTATACAAAGTATATTGTTCAGAAATCCCACTTTAAAAGCCTCACTAAATCAAGGCTAGACATCACTCACGTAAGTAGATCAATCAGTATTATGACATCGAATCATTGACAAATCTTATTTATAGATTCATAATAACGACTATGAATTTGAATCCAAATTACACTTGAATTAATAGAAGTGTAGTTTAACTTACAGGGAAATTCTAGAGAAAAGTCAGAATTTGAACTAGCACAAATCTGACTTGAGAGCTTCTGCTTGTCAAGCTTCCAGATGCTTCAGAGCCAAGCTAGAGTCCTAAAATAGTATTAGAATTTTGAAATGATCTCCTATAGATTTGCAAAGAGAGTTTGGGGAAAAGTGTGAGAATGAATGGGGGATGATTCCTATATTTATAGACTGGTTTTTACCATGCGTTCCATGCTTATCATGGTGGGTGCCGCGCGCTTAATGTGGTGTCTTACCTTCCATTTTTGTGCCATGTCTCAATTTCTCGGTGGTCTGTGTTGCCACCTTCTAAAAGCGCGATCCGTGTACACCGCACAAAATGTTGATTTTGTAATTGTTTTATATCTTCTTTATATCTACATATAGCCATCGACGAGATCTACAACTTTCATTTAGATTATGTTATCTAACTCTCACTTTATTTTTAAATTTATATTATTATATATTTAGACTGTTCAAAATCCGTATAAAAATCATAACTCTTCTATTCTCGGTTGTCTTTATATCCATAGAATTGTATCAAAGATCTCTTTAATTTGTTGAGTCAAATTCTAGCATGGAAGACACCTTCTTTCAAGTTCTAATGTGGTACAACCACATCTTTGTAGGTAGCATTTCTAGGTATTGGTTGCTTAGTCTTAACGATGGTTATGATACTTTTATTGATCGCTTCGATTATCTCTTCCTTAAATCTTTTAACTATATTCGGACACTATATCAATCATGGTTCTCTAAACAGAGTAACATATTTCACAAACTTATCTCAACTGAACTCAATTCTTAATGACCACTAGGGTCTGAATGAACAATTTTCTTCGTAGTCATAACCAAAACAAATGTAATGATGGAAATGAACAAAACGAATTCAACTACTAGTGCCTCCGTAACCTTGTGACTAAATCTAATCCTAGTGTTAGTCATATGCTTTTAGTAGTATAGGCCTCTACTAACTTTCACACATACTCATTCCTATCCCAAGAATTTCCTTGTGGTTCTCCAAGTCACCACACAAGAAAGTCATGTTGCAATTTAACACATAAAATAATGTAACATAATTAGGGTATATATTACTTCTTGACAACAATTACAATATTATTCAAGTTTATCACACTTTATGCCTGTTACATTAGGCTACATAATATAACATTATTGATATAACTTCTTGATATTCTGAACTACAGATAAGCAAATCCATTTTCTTAATCTCCTACACTGTCATTTGTTTCATCAACAATCATCTGGAATGCTCTTGCCTTTGGATTTGGTGGTGCATTCGGCCTTGATGTTTCATTTTTATTTAGGGAAGTCATTCATTGATGCGATGCTTCTCAAAATTTGTAATACATGCTTTGGGTGCAGTTATTGGCATAATGAATCATCTTTCCATAGTTTAAGCAAGTTACTTCATTGTTGCATCTTCCGAAGTTTTCTTCCTACACTTCTCACACCATTTTGCTTCATTGGTATCCCAAGGCCTCTTGTCATTAGGTCTATATACTCTTCTTATCCAAACTTAAAGAACCCTAGAACTTCCTTTTTATCTCAATTTTCAGTTTTCTCCATACCTTTTTCCTTTATCCAGGACTCCACATTCCTAGCTGCCTAGATGGTTACTTTTAGAGTAGTTGTTATCTTTACCATTGGAAAAAATCCACTGGTATTCCCCTTGGAAACGTATTTACATTAGAAAGTTCAGTAGGAACCAAGCTAGGAACTAGCTTTATCATTTTAGTGAAAGTTGCAGCATACTCGCTGACACTTATCTTCCCTTTCTTTAGATTTTGGAATTCGTTGTTAATATCCAAAAGATATTGTTCAGTGCGGTATTTCCTATTTAACTCCTCACGGAATTTCTACTAAATCATCTTCCTTACCTCTCCCTTTTGCATGGAATCAGCTAACAACTTCCACCAACTCAATACTCCTGTCTTTAGCTGTCTGGCCACTAAGATGGTCTTCTCTCTGTTCATGCAGTCAAAGTTATCGAATACCATCTCTATTTCAGTGATCCAATAAACAACTTCCACTAGTGTTGGACTTCCAGAAAGACTTGGCGATTTGGAAGCCATGGAGTCCTTATACTTGCATTTACTTCTCTCAACCTCTTCATTTGGGTTGTTCCTTCTAACCCTTTGCGGTTTAGCTTGATCCACATTCCTACTGTAGCTCCCTTCTTTGGAATGACCTTTACTCACTACTGATTCATCAATCGATACAGTAAATTCCTTCCTATTCCCTTGAAGTAGTCGTCTAGTCTACTCCATTCTATATACTTATCTAGCATAACTCGAATCAAGGCTTGAACTCTAGGGATCGGACTAGTTCAGTTGCCGACATGACTTTTGGTGCATAGTCAATTGCACATCGTGCTTCAACCTGCTTATTCCTGTTACCATTTCCTAATCCACTACGAGTTCTCACGATGATCTTTTGTACACGAAACTATCGTTAAATTTAGCAGAATCGTGGGTATATTAAAATATAGAATGTTTTAGTTATGATTAGATGCATAATCCTTCTTGTTACTCCAAAAAGTTATATGTCAGTTCTAATACAATATTTAAATGTTTAGAATCCTTAACACATAAAGTTTCCTAATCCAAGTCAGCAACAAACCTTAAATCTAGTCAAGTAATAGTAATTTGTGTAACCTTAGCATGCTATAAATCATTTAGCACATAACAAAAAATTAGGCATCCTATCCTAAAGTATTGTAGGACTTGTGTCAATTTAGGTATTCTAAATAAAATCAAATGGACATACACCTCACGATTATCGCTAAACATTCTATGTTTAAGTCTAGAAATACTCAAATATTTCTCATTCGCTTCAACTAATGCTTTGATACAAGAAAATAACTTTTTATATATGCTAATTTTAAAACAACATAATAGCAGAATTTTTCCCATAAACGTATTTCTGGAGAAATGTTTTTCATTGATTTATTCAAAACTTGGGATGTCATAACAGATAAAAGAAACATAAGCATAAATAGAGTTACTACTGGCCTTCATCCTCTAATGGCCTATATTTTCCTCGAATATCTCCTCGGATCCAAACATCATATACCTTCATATTGCTTAACTGTGATGCAAAGAAACTAAGTGGGTCCGGTTGGGAAACATCATGAGTAATATGCTTCTCAGCTCACAATATTATAGTGAATTTGTTATAATTATAAAATTCACATCAAATAATTAACCATATTACCCATTCCCGTTATGCTCACTCCCTGGTCCTAGATCGATGTTCTCAATGGATCTATCCTAAAAGATCTATAAAGGAACAATCTTGCGTTGCTGATTCCTTATCAATATATGCTAATTAAATAACCTTGGGGTGAATAGAGTACCCACATGAATAATTCATTCATACCTACAGATTGTGGTCCTGTCTGTATGTCATTCCTTAACATCTACATGTCGAGGACTTGCTCATGTATAATTCAGTAACACCTTCAAGTCAAAGACCTATACGTGTACGATTCATTAATGTCTACATGTTGTATACATGCCCAAAAACAATATCATTAGCATCTATAGGTTCTATTGTAACATGTATGGTCGATT